TACCATCAGTTAAGTATTTCTCTCCATTCACTTTTGCTTTTTAAAAACAAACAAACAAAAACAACCCACTCAGGCATATATAATAATCTGCATCTACAAAGGGCACATTCTGCAAGTCTGCCTTCTGGCCACTAGTTCTTAGTCCCTCTCTTCTTAGTCCATGAATCTAGAGTCCTCAGCTACTCCCCCTCTCCATGACCCCATCTCTGCCTCCATCTCTGGCGCTGCTGCTTCTCTGGATAAGGTCCCGCATTCTGCTTGTGTGCTTCTCTCTCGATGGTCCTAGGGTCCTCTGTTTCTGGACTGCAAGATTAACCACTCCCCTGGTTTTTTTTTTAATGTTTTATTGTGAATTATGTGATACTTTACATGGGAGAACATTAGTTTTGCATTCATTCTACGGTATATCGTCTCATTGCCATGGTTACAATCCCTTCCATGCATCATCAACCAATCAAAGGGTATATCCTGCAAGCCTGTCCCCTCACCCCCCGGTCTTCAGCACACGAGCCCCTCTCCCTCTCTGGATCTAAAGTCCCCAGCTGCTCCATTGCTCCACGTTATTGTCTCTGCCTACATCTTAGCCATCACTGCTTCTCTGGGTAGGGTCCCACTCTCTACTCTTCTCCATTGATGGTCCTAGGGCCATCCGCTCCTAGACTGGAAAGTTATTCCCTCCCTTCCTTGCTATAAAACATCTACCTTTACATTTCCAACCTTCCGAATATAACCTTTTAAATTTCATATTATCATTTTGAAATGTTTATAATGTTCCCTTCTCACTTGATGAAATTGTCAGTTAAGTCTTTTATTAATGTATGTTTCATTACAAAATCTAAAACTTAAAAAAAAATAAATTTGTTATTAGATCCCTGAACAAATGGAAGACAAGTCGTGTAAAATTTTGGATTGTGGAGACATCGCTTCACAGTCTGAGAAAAAAGATATTTCTTATCAAAATGTGCAACCAGATGAGTTCGCAACTCTTAGTGAATGTCTAAGGTAAGCAATTTTATTGATTATGCAATTTTGAATTTTTGTTTAAAGGTTTAGGAATTGTTAGTCAACTTTTGAAAAGTATAGAGAAACAGACTGATATGTCTACATCAAGTTATGTAACATGAAAAGTATAACTCCATTTTTCAGGTCTTTGCACACTTCATTGTAATATTTGACTTTGTCTTTTCAAGTTGCACTTGAAAATGTTTTATTCAACTTTCTTACCTCTTCATTTCTTCCATTTACTATAGCACTTTATGCTAGAGCGCTAGTTTTAGAGTTTCTTCTGACATCTGTTTTTGTTGTTTCCTCTGTTGTCTTAATGACCCTTTGCTTTCTTTGAGTATGATCTTTTTTTTTTCCCCGTAATAAATGGTTCTTTATTGAATTTTACACAAAATATGGGTCTATGCTGATTGGAAAAAACCAGGTCTTTTAGCTCAGATAGTTTAAAAAGCACAGATAGTTAAGCACTCTGAAGGGTTTGATCTTAGTTAGGATCAAACAATTAAATTATAGTAAAGAAAGAAAAGCACAACTTGTATATAAGCAGAATAACAAGGTAGATTGGATTCCCTAGTGGATGGTGGAAACTTGTGGATGTTCTGTTTTAATTTGCTCAGAAAATTTGATGCAAAATCAACAATTAATAAAGAATGAAGGATAACATGTTGGAGATTTGAAGAGATAGGAGGTGTCTAGTTGTTTATGAGAGTGAGGAACCATATGTTCTTAGGTGCCGTCAAGTTGATTCTGATTGATAGTGACCCTGTGCAATAGAATAAAACATTATACCAGCCTGACAATTATTGTTATATTCGAATCCATTGTTGTCACTGTGCCAATCTATTTCACTAAGGGCCTGCCTCATTTTTCCTGAATCCCCACTTTATCAAGCATGATGTTTTTAATTCAGGTTCTGTTCTCTCTTGATAATATGTCCCAAGTACAAGAGACAGAGACTCACCATCATTGCTTCCAAGGAGCAATCTGGCTATGTTGTTGTTGTCAGGTGCCATCGAGTCAGAACCAACTTATAGTGACCCCATGCACAGCAGAACAAAGCAATGTCCTATCCTGGGCCAACTCTGCCACCCCTGCCACACTTGACGCCGTCAATGATGCCACCTGGCTGATCATCTCGTTGGGGGTCTTCTTCTTTTTCTCTGACCCTCCATCTTACCCAGCATGACATCCTTCTCCAGCGACTGTTCCCTCCTGACAATATGTCCAAAGTATGAGAAATGAAGCTTAGCC